GCTAAACTAAAAAAGAAGGATAGTACAAATGCTGGCAAGGATGTAGAGAATTGGATCTCTCATCCACTGCTGGTGGGATAGCCACTCTAGAAAACAGAGGACAGTTGTTTTTTTTTAATCCTCACCCAAAGATATATTTATTGATTTTAGAGAGAGAGAAACATCCATGTGAGAGAGAAACATCAATTGATTGCCTCCCATATGTGCCCCAAACCAACAACCTAGGTATGTGCCTTGATCCGGGATTGAACCCTCAAAATTTTTGGTGCACAGGGCGATGCTTCAACCAACTGAGCCAGGGCAGATGACAGTTTCTTAAGAAGTTAAACATGCACTTACTCTATACCCTTAATCACATTCCTGAGCACTTACCCTAGAAAAATGAAAACAGGTTCACAGATAAACTTGCACATGAATGTTTATAGCAGCTTTATTTGTAATATCCCCAAACTGGAAACTACCTAATGTCCTCCCATGGGTGAGTGGTTAAACAAAATGAGATATGTCCGTCTAATGGAATAATACTTATCAATAAAGACAAACAAACTATTGATATATATAACATCTTGAATGGATCCTAAGGAAATTATGCTGAGTGAAAAAGGCAACCTCAAATGGTTACACACTATATGATTCCATTTATATAACATTCTCAAATGTCAAAAATCTAGAGATGGAGAACAGATCAGAGGTTGCTAAGGAAACCAGGGAAATCAAGGAGGGGGTGACTATGAAGGGGTAGCAAGAGAGAGATCCTCTATGAAAATAGACTAGTCCTGTATCCTGATCGTTGCGGTATTTATATAAATTTATACCTGTGATAAAACATCATAGAACTATACACAAAGATGTCAAAAAATGAGTGTGTGCAAAAACTGGTGAAATCCAAGTAAGGTCTGTAGTCTAATTGTCTGGTACTAATGTCAGTTTTCTTGTTTTGATAATGTACTATAGTTATGTTGGATATTATCATTGGGAGAACTTAGGTAGTGGGTGCAGTGGGCAACTCTGTAACATTTTTGCAACTCCTTGTAAGTTTATAAATATTTAAAAATGAAAATAAAATGTCATTTCCAACTACATCAAAAACCATTACAGAAGAACACAAAGAACTGAATAAACAAAGAACTTTGCCATCTTTATGAGTAGAAAGTCTCAAAACCATAAAGTGGAAATTCCTCTTAAATATTCAATAAATTCAATGCAATTGCATAAAACATTTTACAAAACTTTTTGTTTTCAAAGAATTTGACAAGCTAAGATTAATATGGAAGGATTGAGGGCAAGAATTCCAATGCAGCATAAGCACCATGAGAGCAGAAATGTTTGATTCTTTTGTTTAGTTCCGCATCTCAGAGTCTCGAACAGTGCCTGGCATCTAGTAGGTGCTCAAAGACATTTGTGAACAAAAGAGTGACAACTTAGGAGAAGAAGAGGAGGAGAATTTTACTCTATCAAATATTAAGGCCTACAATAGTTTTAGCCTATAAGATGGGCTCGGGGTAAATAAATAGACCAATAAAACAGAATGTAGAATTTAGAAACAGATTCACATACATATGAAAACTTGCTGTATAGTAGAGGAGGCATTATCAATCAGTGATGAAAGGGCAGACTATTTAAATAACCATGTGCACAAAGCAAGATGATGGCCACCTACAAGCCAAGAGAGCAGGCCTCAGGGTGAAAACTGCCTTGCTGGCACCTTTCCCTTGGACTTCCCAACCTCCAGGATGGCTCCTAATGTCCCTGACCAGATGCTACTCCAGACATACTGTCTAGTAAATTTTTGCAAATACACTGACGTTGGGCAAGGCAGAAGCCTGGAGACAAGTCAGAGGATTTCACAACAATCCAGCCATCACTGGACTTGCTGGGCCATAGAATGTGAACTGCCTGAGACAAGTTAGCCTTCACTGTTGGCATGACTCAATTCCATTTCCAACAAGCTGTGGCAGGTAAATTTCATCTCTATATCCTCTACCCCTAATCTTTCTGTAAAAAATACCTTCCAGCTTGTCAACACCGTTTCATAGCGTGATATATTTCCCACTGTCTATAATAGCCATAGAGCCTGGTGTGTTATATCCTTTTTTTTTTTCTTTTATGTACTCGAACATCAAAGGGCCAGTTAAGGTACTAAAAAAGTGAACCTTTTGCAAACTATTATTTCCAACATCCTCATCTACCAAAGTTGTGAAAATACGAATATCTTTAAAGATATAAATAAATACCCATGCTTAAAGAATTGGCTATTTATATGAAAAAATTAGATCCTATCAATATTTTTTAGATAGGCAAAGGGTGCTTATTTATTTATTAACCTTATTTTTATTGTTTGCACTATTACAGAGGTCCCCGTTTCCCCCCCTTGGCTCTCCTCCACTTAACCTCCTGCCGCTTCTCTCAGACCATCACCACACTGTCGTCTGTGTCTCTGTGTCAGGCATACGTGTCCTTCAGCTAATCCCTTCACCTTCTTTCATCCTGTCCCCACTCCCCTCTGAGAGCTGCGAGTCTATTCCATGTATCCATACCTCTGTTTCTATTTTGTTCATAGGATTCTGTATATAAGTGAGATCATATGGTATTTGTCTTTCAGATCCGTATCGATATTAAATATGATTTGCATTCTGCTACAAGCATTATGAAAGTGACCTAATCAGAAAAGGATTTTCTCTTGTAAAAAGAATTATAGAAATAAACAAAAGAAAAAATTTAAATTAAAAATAAACAAAAGTGTCCAGAGGTAGGCTGGTGCAGCAGCCCCACAACGTCAATGCTCCAGACTCTTTGTCTGTCTGTCCCTCCACAATCCTTAGTTTGCAGCTTCTCTCCTCAAGCTCGTTACCTCATGGTGGCACAGGGTGACCCACCTCTAGCCTATGTCCCCATAGCCATTTTTCAGAAAAGAAGTGACACAGATAATGTCAGAACAAACTGGGTCTAACTCCAAAATCTACTCTGCCTGACACACTTTTATATTTCTGATAGAAGAGCTCCTACTCATATCTCATTAGTCATTCACTCAGCACCTTTTGGATGAATCTTTCTTATGCTGACTATACTGTTTTCTAATTATTTATTCATGTGCCTGTCTCCTAGTCCTGCCATAACACATTTCTCTAACTGAGCCCTCTCTCCCCCAACCAGAGCCAGGTTCTATCTATGTTCCATAGGATCCAAAGCACAGAGTAGGCATCAGGAGAGTTCAGTTATGGGGTAGGAAGGGTCAGATTAAGTTATATTGTATTTCCTAGTGACTAGAAAACAGGGCCAAGCATCATATTATTTTTGGAACTCAAATCAAATCACCAAGAGGCAAAGATCCAAGCAGGAGGAAGTCCAACAGATAATTGACTAATCAGAATTATCTTCTCACCTTGTTTAATTCCAAGAGATATATATATATATATACCAAACAGATGTGTTTTGCAATCAGTTCCCAATCTAAACACGTAACTGACTTTCCCCCCAAGAAACACCAATGCCCCTGGCTTAATTGAGGCTGAAACCTCTGTCTATAGAGGAACAGAGCTGAAGGCCAGCGAATGTATCTAAGGGTCAGGAGAAGAAGATGGTGTAGGAGACATAAATGAAGGCACACCAAGGAGAGAGCTAAAGGTACTTGCAAGAACAAAAGGTCTTTCTGGAGAAGGTGTTCAGGTGGCTGGCCTGCTTGGGAAGCTCCACCCATGAGTTTCCTGGGTGGGTTCTTTGAATACTAATAACTACCATTTACTGAGCCATTGCTATATGCCAGATGTTGTACTTTTAGTGCATTATCTCACTCTCATTCTTAGGACAACCTTGCAAGTTCATAATTTGTACCCCATTCAGAGATGAAACTAAAAGTCAGGAAGTTGCAGTGATATGCCTACAGCCATACAGCTAAGAAATGTGAAAGCTAGGATTTGAATCCCCATGGATTTCATTTGACTCAAAGCTTCTGCTCTGAATCCTTAACTATCTTCATAAAACCACTTTCGGGTAACTCTTATTTCCTCCACTTCATAAATGAAGTGACTGAGGCCCAGGGATGACCCAGCTTGCCCAAATGGCACAGAGAGTAATTGTCAGAGCCAAATCAGCTCTCTCTCTGACTCCCAAATCTACCCTACCTCCCAGGTAGAGGAAGACCAAAGCCCAGGGGTCAGGGCGGAGCCAGAAAGCCCCTACCTGTCAGGCCCTACCCTTTCCTAGGACACTGCCCCTCTGATTCCCATCCACTCCAACCGCACCACTTGGGCCTCTTCCAAGAGCCTCCTTTTCACTGCCCCTACCCCAGTGTTACCCCTGGGCTGAATGAACAGGGACTAGGTGGTTCTTGGGAGGCTCTAAGATACCCCTTCCCCTAGAAAAGGAATAGCCAGGGTACCACCAGCCTGGGGTTCCTCATCCCCATACATATGAGCAAGGCTTGGATCAGGACTTCAAGTGCTTGGATCAGGAGCCAGCCAAACTGGGTTTAAAATCCATCTTAGTGACTTTGGTCCATAATAGTAATTTCCTTATTAAAAAGTATCTATCCTGGGACAGACATTTCACTGGTGGTTTCCTCCATGATTTTTAAATCCCCCCTCCCCACTTTATTAGCCCTATTTTACAAAAGAGAAGCCAGAGGCCCCTGGAAGGGAAGCGACCAGCGTGAATACAGCAAGTACCAAGAGCCTAGGACTTGAACCTGCTTCGGCCCCAGATTCTGCTGTTGCTTAGGAGCGGAGGAGGAAGGAGGTGCAAGAGTAGAGGGAGGAGGGGAAAGAGAGGGCGAGCTCCCAGCAGCGCACGCTGACGACAGCAGGTGATTTTTTTTTTTTTCTCTCTGCAGCGCGCTTTCTCTCAGCATCTTTCCTGGATTTTTTTTTTTTTTTTCCGATGCTGAGCAGTAGAAAAGGGTGGGGCTGCTTCCCTGCAGCAGAGACGGCGGCGGCGGCAGCTGCAGCATCATTGGGAGCAGCGGCAGAGGCAGCAATGCTTGGCCTCCGCTGGAGGTGATCGCCTCCAAGCCCTGCTAGGTGGCCAGCTGAGACGGGACGCCGGTGGGAAGGAGAACAGAGGCTCCTCCGCGGACCCTGCGGACACACTGTCCTGCCCTTCCTCTGCGCCATGGCTTAATACCGCGGCCACCTCGCCTGGCGTCGCCTGGCTTGGCCAGGGTCTGCGCGCCGTCGCAGCCGCAGGGAGTGGCGCGCCCCAGACGCCTTCGCCTGGGGACTCGGGGACGTCTTTCTTCTCACCTACGGTACCTGCGGCAGACTGCGTTCCCAAGACCTTTGCAGCCGGTAATCTAGGGACTTTATCTCAGTGACAGCTTTGCCGGCCCGACCTTCCTGGGTGCTTTCTGAGGGAGAAGGGAGAGGTTCTCAGGCCACCAAGGAAAAAACGGTGGGAATCAGATTGGCTGGTCAAGGGCCAAGGGACTGAAAGAGATTAGAGACTTGCTTTAGAACCACAAAAAGAAGGGAAGGCCAGCTTTGCAGCTAACATCATGGCGTGGCCGTGCATCACGCGGGCTTGCTGCATCGCCCGCTTCTGGAACCAGCTGGACAAGGCGGACATCGCTGTGCCGCTGGTTTTCACCAAGTACTCGGAGGCCACCGAGCACCCGGGCGCCCCGCCGCAGCCGCCGCCGCCGCAGCAGCAGCCGGCGCAGCCGGCGCACGCGCCCCCCTCGGCGCGGGCGGTCGCCATAGAGACTCAGCCGGCCCAAGGCGAGTTGGATGCAGTTGCCCGGGCAACAGGGCCGGCGCCAGGGCCTAGTGGCGAACGCGAGGCGGCAGCCGCCTCCGGCCGGAGCGCACTCGGCCCGGGCCCGGGCCCAGGCTCCGGCTCCACCTCCGGCGCGGGCCCGGTGGACTCGGTGATGCGTCAGGACTACCGCGCCTGGAAGGTGCAGAGGCCCGAGCCGAGCTGCCGGCCGCGCAGCGAGTACCAACCTTCCGACGCGCCCTTCGAGCGGGAGACCCAGTACCAAAAGGACTTTCGCGCCTGGCCGCTGCCGCGCCGTGGGGACCACCCGTGGATCCCCAAACCTGTGCAAATCCCCACCTCCTCCCAGGCTTCAGCGCCTATTCTCGGGGCGCCCCGGCGCCGGCCTCAGAGCCAAGAGCGCTGGCCAGTGCAGGCCGCCACTGAGGCCTCGGAGCCGGCGACGGGCCCTGGCGGAGCTGGTGTGCTAGCGGCAGGAAAGGCGTCGGGTGTGGAGGAGCGCGACACACGCAGGAAGGCCGGGCCCACCTGGATGGCGCGTCGCCCCGAGGGGCTGGGGCACGAGCAGACGCCGCTGCCCGCAGCCCAGACAGGCCCCGAGGGTGGCAAGGGGCGTGCAGCAGCTGATGCCCTCAATAGGCAAATCCGCGAGGAGGTGGCGAGTGCAGTGAGCAGCTCCTACAGGTGAGATGCGGGACACAGCTCATGCAACGGGGCTGGTCTCCCTGACCCTCTACCAAAGACTTCCCAGGACTCAGTCACCACGTCGCAGGCCTCACATCAGCCTCCTCTTCCATCCCAGACCACACCCTCTCCCCAGCCCCATCCCAGGCACCCTGCCATGGCTGATTTTTTTCTGTTCTTTCCTATGTACTCTTTCCGGGGCCTGCCCAGGTCTTTCACTGTACCACCTCAGCCACCTCTTCCCCATCCCGCCGCCGTACCTCAAATCCCTGCGCACCCAACAAAGACCCTTTGCAATTTTTTCATAGGCTGTGCTTCCATTCTGCCCCACTCAATTTACCAGCCGCATTAGCGTAGATGCCGCCCTTTGCCGGCTCAGTTACCACCCACCAGCCTTAGTGCCTTCCCTCAGGGCCCCACCCTTCCAGAAGAAGAGTACGTTCCCAGTGACCAATAGCGCTCCGCACTAGCCCAGTTCACTTGGCCTTTCACTCTTTCCTCCACTCTCTCAGTCCCTGGGAGATACGCAAGCACCACACCCTTTTCTAGATTCTCTAAAGGAGGATCATTATAGACCACCCTCTTCCTTCTACCATGGGGCTTTGAAGTCAGATTCCTTAGGTTTGTTACTGGCTGTGATACATTGGGCAAGTTTCTTAACCTTTCTGGGCCTCAGGTTCTCCTCTGATGTGATTGATAATAGATTGTTCTCATAGAAGTGCTCCCTTGTGTATAAACTTAATATTAATATTCAACGTATTTTTGAACACCTACTATATGCCAGCCACTACCTAGACATTGTGAGTATTAAAGCGGATGGATCTGGGGAGAATTCTGCCTGGCACATGGTAGATGATTAGTACATTTTGGTCCCATTCCAACCTTCTACATGTTGCCTCATTATCCTGGTTTTCACTTCCTAGATATGTCCAGCCTTCTCTCCTATTGACGTGTCTTTTCTCTTGTCCCTTCATGTTCTACAGATGTGTTTCCCATTCTCTTACCACCAAAAGCCCCCTTTCTACCACATTTAAATTCCCTGTAAATGAATGCCTTCAAGCAAGGGCATAACATCTCTCTCTCTCCATTCTTCTAGATTTCTCCCTCTGCTGTAGTCTCAGACCTTCCAGACTGCTTTCTCCTCCTGACATCCAATATATATTTTTGAATGCTTAGCTTTCAGTCCTGCCCTTATGTTTTAACACAAATCAACCAGCTAACAGACCGCAATTGACTCTGAACATCTAACATTGAGCTTTGAGGTCTCTGGGGAACAAGACTTGCACGACGGATAGTTGGGTGAAAGGTGTCCAAAATGTGGCTTATGGGGTCCTTCATCGATGCCACAACCAGTTGCCCCTGCAGGCTGGAGGGTGTGGCCAGGAGGACTGCAGAATTAGTGTCTTTTGCCAAGACCCTATGTGCAGCCTCATGTCAGGCTGATGTCCCTCTCCAGTGAATGTAACAACCACTTCTTTATATGCCGAGGAAAGAATTGCACAGATAGACATCCTCTCCTGTTAAGACAAACTCCCCTTCCTTCCCAGGCTTTAACCTTGGAAAGCATTTCCCAATGAGAATGGGCAGCTAATCCGTTGGGCACTACTCCATCTTCCTGAATTCCACATCCCGCTTGGCATTTTTCTCGCGGTTTATTGTTATCATGACCACATTGGCCCCCCAGGAGTACACCGCTTCCCTTTAAAGCTCTGAGTCATGCAAGAACACAGATCCTTTTCCTGGTTTCTGAGACATCAGGAGGTAAAATTTTCACGATATCTTTAGGGTGCTACCAAGGGAGCATCAAAATGAGAAGAAGGGAAGCAAATAAGCAAGGGGCATAAAAAACAAAGCCAAGATGTGGTTTTGTGATTCTGCCATGGCTTTCTTGTTTACAGGCCTTACTTCATTCCCCACGAGTCCTAAGGTCACAGATTCCTGGCCTGGCCTCTTTATCTTCCTATACCCCTCCTACTGCCCTGTGGCAGGTGGACCCTTCACACCCACCAAGCAGGAACTACATCTCCTCACTTCCACAAAGTCAATGCCAATCAAGAGAGATCCCAGATTCTCAAACCTCTTTGGGTGATCCCACTCAGTTTATGTTTCCAAGTTGGTGGGACTTGCTCTGTCCATGGATGATTGGCCATACAGTCAGGGAACGACCCACCCTTCAGATACAACTCACTCCAAGTATTTTGGCTTCTACATGTGTTCTGTATAGCCTTTCCCCCCAAAACAACACCTTAATTCTACAGAAAACATGTCATACTTCACAGTTAGAATTACACACACACCGTAAATGATTGGATTGAATAGCAAAAGGCTATACTCTTGTCACCTGTCAAAAAAATAATCTCTCAGCAACTAAAAAATGTTTTTTCTAATTTAGATTTTCTGTAAAATTTAATTATGCATATGATTTTAGGTAGCAGTTCAATTTTGCTGGATAATTGGAAATTTTGAAATATTAAGAGAATGAGTGAAAAGAGACATCAATTTCTTTAATGGAAAATTGAAGTGCATGACAAATTTGATTTGAAATTTAACATTTTTTGTTCTGGAAGAAAAATAAACCACTAATAGGGAAATGCATTTTGGGTGAAAATAGATATAACAAAATAATACAATGAATTAATTAAATATAAAGAAAATGCCTGGAAATTGTAGGCTTATCAGGAACATTGATTTTCCTTCCCTATTGTTCTCACATTCTTTTCCTGCTATGATTCTGATTATCTGCTGAATTTAAGTATGTCCTGGGTCTGCTGTAAATGAGCCTTACCTAGCCTTAGAAGCCAAGCTGGGTTCCATTTCAATGATAATTTGATTTACAAATCCTTTTCTTTGGCCACTCTACATAAATCATGGTGGTTTACACCATGGTGACTGGCTTATCTCACGGGCTTTACAAAGGACATCTGTTACATGACATCAATACGAGCAGTTTGCTTAAATAAAGGACACATAATCCATCAGCTTAATGTATTGGTATATAATGTAAAATATGCATTCAGCGTCCAGAGTCATATGCATACTAATTGGTTTTTGCTTATAATATACATTCAGTAGATAATATCAAATGTCCTTTGGCTCTATGGTTTTGAGAAACCTTCCCTATTTAACAGTTCATTTCATTCATAACTCACCCCAAAAAATACCCTGGGATTTTTTGCATTCAGATGGTATCTAAGGTATATTTAGAATTATTCACAATCATGAAATCGATTCATTTTTAATACATTCATATTACATAGATGATATAAAATTGAGAAGCATGTCTTTGTTACCATTTTTAATGTTAAGAATGGATTTCACTGGTCAGCCATTTGTGACTTTAGACCTAGCATTCTCAATTAGAAAATAAATGAGTCACAAGGAGGGGATTAAAATTCCCCTTTCTGTCAACCCATTGCCCTAGCCTTCAGTTAATAGGGATAGATGGGGTAGCAGGTGCTCCCCATAGAAATGTTAATGAAACTTTTTCCTGGAAGAAATCAGCTGAGGCACCAGGATGTAGAATTAATAAACCAGAGGCAAAATACTTGAAAAATGAGAGCCGTCACAAGGAAATTAGAAAGAAAAGAATCCTTTAACATCTGCCCTACAGTCTTCCATGAAGGTTAGAGAATGGCCCATCTGACTTGGCTTATGCTGTGCAGAACCGCCCTATGCCTATAATGCCACTGCTCTTTTTCCTAATTTCTTCCTGGGCAAGTCTCAGCAATGCTTCTGGGCCACTCTTCAGCGATGCCTTCCAGGTTCTGCCATTCAGAATCAAATTTTCTTTTATTCCCTTTTTATATTTTGTACACTTCTAAAAATAACTTTTATCTGTTTCTGTCTCCCCCACCAGATCATGAACACTTGAAGAGAAGAGCTATATTTTGTTCATCTCTATACCTCTCATAGCATAACATTGTGCCAGGTGCCATATAGGTTGGTGAATCCAATGGAATTTTTAGAGTTTGGTGAAAATTTTATTTACCTTCATATTGATTCATTTTATTCAGTTTCTTTTAGTTGAATTTGTTTCAGAAAATGACCACCAAGCTCCTGCTATATATCAGACAGAATTCCAGGGATACCAAATGAATCATTCATAACTGTTATGTAAGGACATTGTCTTCCTTAATCAAAATAAAGTCCTACTAGGTTAGTACTAGGTTAGCACTAGAAGTAAATGTTCAAATGTGGAAGGGCAGCAAACCTTGCAAACCTTACAAACCTGACTCTCGATTCACTCTCATCTGGGACAGTGGTCCTCAACCTTGGCTACACATTGGAATCACTGCAGAACTTTTAAAATGCTGTTGCACAGGTACCGTGCTCAGAAATTCTGATTTAATTGGTCTGAGGGGTGACCTGGGCATCTGAATTTTTAAAATCTGTCTCAGGTGGTTCTCATGTGCAATTCAGGTTATTACCTTCTCCCCTAGGGCAAAGATTCTCAAACTTTAGCATGCGAAAGAGTCATCTGGAGAGCTTTCTAAAATTCAGATTCCTGGGCCTCATCCTCAGACAGGCCAATTCAGTATGTTTAAAATGGAGCCTAAGAATCTACATTTTAAAAAAGCACTCTAGGTAATTTTGATGTAAGAGAACTTCAGGCTTTACTTAGAAAAACACTGCTTGGAAAGATTTGATATCTTTAAGGTTTTAAGTTTTCCCACATTAAAACATGGTATTGCTTGCCATTTACTCAGGTCTTTCACTTACATTTTGTAATTTTCTCAAAAAACTCACACACACACAATAGTTTTTGAGTTTTATTTTACTATATTTAAGTCTTCAATTATCTAACTGTATTTTAACTTTATGTATGGAATCAGGTAGGGGAGCTCATTTATTTTTCCCATGGGGAAAATCATTTATCCTAACATCCTTTTAAAAAGTCCAACTTTTCTCCACTAATATCCCCATTAATGTCTCCTCTTGCACAGAAAGGTCACATATGCTTGCATATATATATTTCTGACATCTCTGTTTTATTCCATTAG